AAAAAATACCAGGAATAGAATTTACGCAAGTACATGTATATAATTATGTGGACGTCCGCATGAAAAGGGACCATATTGTCGGTTCTAGTTTTCGAGATAATCGCAATTTAGTAATTTTGGAGCAAAATCTTAATATTTTAAAATTTTTTATTAGTTCATTTTTTGCACTTTTTTGGAAAAAATTTTTTAAATTGTTATAAGCGATTTAATTGTGGATTCTAATTTTAACAGCGATGTATTTTAACATAATATGAACTGATTTTATAAACACGGCTCCCCTAGGAAAAATATTCTATACTTTATACATGGCTGACATAAAATTTAAAAACCGCTGCCAAGTAATTTTGGTGTCCATTTCATGAACACTTTGCTTCCTCATAGAAATAATAATAATTGAAATATAAGAATTACTTTATTACCTTTTATAAAAATATAAAAGGGTTAAAAATCATTAAATCTTGGTCTAAAAAATGTGTTTTTATATATTCTATAAGAGGGTAATAATTGTTTAATAATTACAGATAATTTAATAAACAAAAATGTTGAAAATGATATTTTCCACAATTTTTGATTTTTCAAATACCAATAATTTCTGCCCGAATCGGGTTCAAAAATAGGTCAATCGAAGCGTTTTTTAATGCTCTTCAAGTTGATAATAATTTTTTGAAGTTACTTTTACATAATTTAAAAAAATTTTTATAAAAGTCTTATTTTTCAAAATTTTAGATTTTTAAAAGTTTAATATCTCCGGTTAATATGGATGAAAAATGTTCAATTAGGGCTCAAAAGATGCGTCTGAAAAAACTCTACAAAACTAAATACAAAACAAAACAAAACTTTTACATTTTTTAACAAAATTTTTTAAAAAAGTCTAAAAAAAATTAAAATTAAAATTTATTAATTTATTAATTTAAAATTTTCCAAAATTTTTGATTTTTAAAAGTTTAATATCTCCGGTTAATATGGACGAAAAATGTTCAATTAGGGCTCAAAAGATGCGTCTGAAAAAACTCTACAAAACTAAAGAAAAAGATTTATAAGTGTCCTAACATTTTTTTAAGTTATGTCCAAAAAACGTTTTTTTACAAAATGAAAAATGCAAAAAAAAAAATAGTTAAACTTCATGAATCGGACTGAAAATACTCTCATTTTATGTCCCCCGGGGAGACCTACAATTTAAAAAAAAATTGAGGCCTTTAGCTCTTTCTCTTTCTGAGATATTGAGGCAAATGTAATGTTAGTACACACACACACACACACACATCCGGACAAATTTTTAAAATCCGTTTTTTGAACATCGGAGATCAAAATACGTAGAAATTTTTTTTTATTTATTTAGAACATTTATACGGGGAGTTCCTGTGCATATATAAAGTACTAAAGTATTAGGCATAATAAAAAAAAATTTATAAATATGTCAAAAAATGACCATCCAAAATTTTGCTAATACAAAGCTTCCTTTATGAGGAAGCAAAAGCATTAAATAGTAAATTTTAAAAAAAAATTCCTAATTTTTTATTTACAAAAAAGTGTCCAAGGGTAAATTTGTTTTTTTTTGTACAAAATTTAAGAAAAAAATTAGAAAAAAATATTTTTTTTGAAAATTGTAAAAAATACAAAATTTTGAAAATTTCATCGGGGGGGAATTTCGTTTCATCAGGGGGTCATGAAAAATGAAGATTTATCAAAATTAGAAATTTCTCAACATCGCACAAATCCAAGACTTTCTCATTTTTTATGAGAATGTAAAAATACAATAAATGTAATTTTCCGAAATTTTTTATTAATTACAAATTAATAAATTGTACCTTAAAAGAAAATATTTAGCAATTTTAATTTTCAATCATTTTAAAAAATTATTTTAATGAATATATCAAAATTGAAAAAATAAAAAATTTATCAAAATCTTTTTTTTTAAATTTGACATGTTTATATTATGTACATTTCTCATAATAATAAAAATCCCTTTATTTATGTTTCTTATATTTAACTTTCATTATTACAAAATATCGTTTAAATTACTTGACAAATTGAATTTACTAATTCCTAATTTTTTGATGCTGTTAGTCTTTTACTTAGGCAACCTTCACAAAATTTCTGGACACTTTCTTCCACAAGTCACATTCAGCTCTCAATTTTTATGGTGGAAATAAGATTGTGGCTTATAAAAACATCATATCAAAACAAAATAAATTTTAATTAGGTAATTCTTTATTTATTTTCGCTTTACGGTAAAGAGCTCTTTTTTTGAGAAAGTGTCAAATTATTTTTTAAAAATTGACAAAGTAAAAAGTTTCATAAAAATCAGTGGAAAGTGTTGGATAATTTAAAAAGAAAGAATAAAAGCAGATACTTATAGAGAAAAGGGCTCTTTATTAAAATTCTATATATGAAATAAGGATTTAAGTAAAAATCTGTTTGTAATAATATACGATGTTTCTACGAGCGTCAATATTATTTTCACTATAGCCAGGGCTGCAATAATTTAAATCAACTTGATTTAAATCATGATTTTAATCTTGATTTAAATCTTGTCATTAAAATCATGATTTAAATCAAACTGCAAAATGCATTAGAAACAGAAAAGTTTGCAAAATTAGTATTTTGGTTTAAAGTTTTGAATTCATAAAAATAAAAAAGAATACATTACAGAGATAATAAAGTAAACATAATAATTATTAGTTTTGTTTATTTGACTCAAATTACAGAATAACTGGAAATCAGAGAATTTTTTTGTTCAGGGAAAAGTCAGGGAATTTAAATCGAAAAAAACCACAAATTAAAAAACTTTGATAAAAGTCAATTTAGTTTTTGTATAATATTTGATAAACGGGCATTGGCGGTTTATATTTAAATAAATAAATATAACTTTTTGAGCACGATTTAAATTGTAAATTTTCATTAACTTTTTTTCATAATAAAAGTTTTAAACACATTAAAATTTTTTTTTAACAAACAATTTTGAATTATCTTATGTTTTTCTTTCTAAATAAAATTGTTACTTAAAAAGCATTATAAAATTTTTAATTATCAATGCAGAATATTAAATAATTAAAAAATTTATTAATCAGGGAAACCGAAAAATTAGTCAGGAAATGTCAGAGAATTCTTAAAATAAAATTTTCCATCCACCCTATTATTATTAATTTTATAATTTTTAATATTAAAAAACAAACTACTTATAAAATAATTAAATATTTAAAATATTTAAAAAAATGATTTAAATAAAAAAAATGAATTTTTTAAAAAAGTCATGATTTTTATCAGCCCTGCACTATACAAATAATTGACAGCTTTGATGTCGGAAATAAACTTATATGACCTGGTCGCCTATAGAAAGGGATTTTAAAATATGTAGTAGAATAAGTAATTATTGTTTTATAATAGAAAATTTATTAGCTCCAAATTTCTTTTAATATCTCATATAATTGAGGAATAAAAAAACATAATTAAATTAATTATTTTGATACAAAGGAATAAAATAAATAAATTTTTATAGACAAGAAAACATGATTAAAGATAATTTAACAAATATATAAGGTAAAAATTAATACTTTTTTATGATTTTGTAATTAATAATTAATTTTTGATTTTATATAATTTTCCAATTACTAATTAACTAATTTTCCAAAATAATACAAAAATATTGAATAAATTTTAGAAATAATTTAATTTTTTCAAAATTCTGTATATTTGTCATTTTTAATATTTTTATTAATTATACAATTTATTAAATTGTACCTCTAGAGGTACTAATTAGCAATTTTAATTTTTAATCATTTTAAAAAATTATTTTCATGAATAACAAAATTAAAAAATTTTTTTTTTCATATTTTTCGTTTTAATTTAACATATTTTATATTATGTATATTTTTATAAACAAAAATCCCTTTATTTATATTCATTCTATTAGTTTTTATTACTGCAAAATATTATTTTTATAATTTTCAACAAAATAAAACTTACTGCCCTGTTTTATGATACTGTTATGCCTTTACGTAGGCAACCCCGCCTTACTCCACCTTTCGGTGCGGACATTTTTTTCTCAAATCAAGTCATCTACATCAGTAAATTGTCATCGTAATAATCATATTGTGGCTCGTAGAAACATCGTATCGAGACAAAGTAAATTTTTACTAATTCTTTATTTAATTTCATTTTAAGATAAAGAGCCCTTTTTTTGAGAAAGTGTCAAATTATTTTATAAAAAATTGTCAAAGTAAAAAGTTTTGTATGAAGCAGTTGAAAGTGTTGGATAATTTAAATGGAAAGAGAAAAAGCAGAAACTTATAAAAAAAGGAGGCTTTTTATTGTGATTATATATGAAATAACGATTTAAGAAAAAATTTGTTTTTAATAATACGATTTTTCAACGAGCGTCAATATTGTTTTCGCTATACAAATTGACAGTTTCAACATAAAAAATAAACTTATAAATTGGTCGCCTATTGAAAGGGGCTTCAAAATAGTAGAATAAGTAATTATTGTTTTAGAATAGAAAATTTATTAGCGATAAATTTCTTTTATTATCTTATATAATTGAGGAATAAAAAAACATAATTACATTAATTATTTTTATACAAAGGATTAAAATAAATAAATTTTTATAGACTAGAAAACATGATAACTAATAATGTAACCAATATATAAGGAAAAAAATAATACATATTTTTACGGTTTTTTAATTAATAAATAATTTTTAATTTTATATAATTTTCCAATTACTAATTAATTAATTTTTACATATAATAATACAAAAAAATTCAATTTTTAGGTATAAATAATTTAATTTTTCAAAATTCTGTATATTTGTCATTTTTATTATTTTCATTAATTACAATTCAATAAATTGTACCTCTAGGGGTACTAATTAGCAATTTTTATTTTTAATCTCTTTAAAAAATTATTTTAATGAATAACAAAATTTAAAAAAAATGTTTTTCATATTTTTCGTTTTAATTCAACATATTTTATATTATGTATATTATTATAAACAAAACCCCATTTATTTATATTAATTATATTAGTTTTTATTACTGCAAAATGTTATTTTTATAATTTTCAACAAAATAAAACTTACTGCCCTGTATTATGATACTGTTATGCCTTTACGTAGGCAACCCCGCTTTACTCCACCTTCTGTTGTGCGGCCATTTTTTCCCCATATCAAGCCAACTACATCTGTAAATTGTCATCGTAATAACCATATTGTGGCTAGTAGAAACATCGTATCGAGACAAAGTAAATTTTTACTAATTCTTTATTTAATTTTATTTTAAGGTAAAGAGCCCTTTTTTTGATTAAGTTCTTTGTTTTTTTTTAAAAAGTGATCAAAGTGGAAAATTACACGAAACATACTGGACAGTGGGGGAGAGTGGGTTGGCAACACTTGACAGTTCCCGACCTCCAACGCCGTTAAAGACACTAATAGGAAATTTTATAATTGAATTGCAAACAAGTACATTTTAGAAGTATTTTAGATGAACTATCTTTTTTAATATTTGTATCCTCAATGAAACTGTCATATTTAAAGTTATTGGTCTGCTTAATGTTGCAAACTTATTTCTCGTAGCAAAAAATTTTTAATTTTTTTGTCCAAAAGACATCTTAAAGACGTCAATGGGACATTATATGCAGCAGTTTTTCAGGTACATTTTTTCATGCTAAATTAAAGAGGTTTTTTAAATGAACAGCTTGTATAAAAAAATTTTTTTCGTAAACATTCTTAGTCTCTACAATAAACTCGAAATTGATATTTTGTTCAATAATGCAATCTTATTTCTCATAGGAAAAATTTCTGCATTTTATATCCAAAAGACGATCTTAAAGACGTCATTAAGACATTATAAACAGCAATTTTTCGGGTAATTTTTTTTATCCTAAATAAAAAATTTCTCAACTTAAAAGCTGTAATTATGCAAAAAGCTGTTTTATAAACATTTCTAATCTGAAATTATCTCTAAATTGTTATTCTGATAAATATTGCAATCTTATATACAAAATTTTCTAAGTTTTATGCCCAAAAGACGTTCGGGGGACGTTATTTAGATATTATGCATAGCAATTTTTTTGTAGGATAATTGTTTGTAAAATGTCAAGGATAAAGTATGAAAAAGATAGGGAAGTTTTTCACAATTCTTGTTACACACCCTCATAATTTGGAAAGCTATTTTTTTAATAAAGGTGTCTTAAAAACGACCCAAAGAAGTCAATTTAATATAGTTAATATTTTTTTTAAGCTTCGAAATAATTTTACAATCGATATTTGTAACGAATTTTTATAATTTGATATGTCAACAAATTTTTATTTTCTTTTTATTTTATATCTAAAAATTAGAATGACAAAAAGACGAAAATATAATTTAATAAAAGAATTTTAATGCTTTATTTTTCAAAAATTTTGTTTTTTTAAAAATCCTTGTAAAAAATTTGTCTTAAATATACAAAATTTTTTAAATTATTTAATATTACACAGTTTTGAAAGTTTCAGTTATAGAAATAGTTTTTTGTCCAAAAAATGACTTAAAGACGTCAATTGACATAGCGTGAAAAATTATCATTTCGACATCCCAAAGGCGACAATTGTCCGGACATAGGACAATTTTAAAACGACTTTAAGACGTCTTATGCACGTCCTTCGGATATACTACGCAAGGACAAGTTATGGACATCTTACAGACGGCTTAAGGACGTCTTTTGACAAAGTCCAAAAGACGTACCGAAAAAGACATCTTCAGGATGTCTTTTGAACAAGTGTGCCCACTGGGGAGGGAGTTTTTCTTCCTCTATTTATTGTTATGTTTCGTTTGTTTAATTTGTAATAGTTTTTGTCGTTGGCGGTCACTCATGTTTTTCGTTGGAGGAGAGTTTTTTTATGATTATGTACAATATCTGTTTTTTACTCGTGTTTTGGTAAGTTTTTGAGGTTAACTCTTATAAGATTCGCATATTTTTGTGAAGGGAGGATTTTACAATCTTTTTCCTTTTTTCGCAGATTTATTATCTGAGGAGGCTCTGCGTCGCGGAGCGAAAGCTCATTTTTATATTATTATTATTATTTACGATCAGACGAATAAAATTGACACAAAATACATCTTTGACTATTTAAATAATTAACACTGATCAACAACTTTTACATCTTATTATTAACTAGCTGCGATACCCGTCTTCGACGGGTTATTAGTTATTGTTATTCCTACTTATATATTAATAGCTGCGATACCCGTCTTCGACGTGTTTCTTAGTATTTTTATAGTTTTCCATATTGAGTATTGATTGGTATTTAACCAACTACATTGAAACTAATTTTCTTGATGATTATTAATATTAATTAATGAAGAAGAAAACGAAATTTTAAGGAAAGAAAAAAGATAATGTTTACAATTTTTAAAATCGCCCAAATGTGAAAACCACCATGGCTTAATAACGGCCCAGTACTGGCAAAGTTGTCACCTAGTCTTGGTCGATATTATTGGGACTACTCTTGTGGTGTTAATTACGGTTTGACGTCGGCAGACGTTAATGGCCCAATATTCACTGCCATTACTTTCCCAGTATTGGCAAAATACAAAAACTAATATAAATTATTCTATTTTTTATTAATTAACTACGTCCCAATATTGGCAATTATATTTTGCCATCATTGCAGATACAAAATTTTTACTATTAATGTGCCATTACTGAGCCGATCAACGTCCCAATATTCTGAAACTGAAAATACCAACGTTTATTCGACGAAAATTTTTACTTTAGCTAATTGCTTATTTTAATATTAACACCCTTTTAAAAAAATTACAAAAGGATCACGGATTTCCCGAAATTCCTGGAAATTCAACTAAATTATTGTTTCCTCGCCTCGCAAGCATTTTTTTCTCTTAATAATCAGAATCCATTTAAAAAAATTGCAAGAGGATTCGAGGCGAGGAAAGTTGTGATTTTTATTTTTTTGTCACGGATTTTCCAAAAATCCGAGAATTCAGTTTTATCCAATACTTTCAATTACAACTTGCCATCATAAATAGAAAAGTTTAGCCTAATAGTCTGATAATAATGTGCCACTATTGGTCCGTGCTAAATCCCGTTACCAGCAATGAGACGTTTTGAATGCCAGTATAGGCCCAGTAGTTTTTGCCAGTTTTCTGCAGACATTCACTGAAAAAATTACATTTTAATTTTAAGAAAATCTTAATATTAAAATCTTAATATTCTTATATTCCCCACTTAGATTATGTGGGAAATATTCTTACAATAAGAAGAAAATTAGTATTGTAAGAATATTTCCTACTTAATTTAAGCGGGGAATATTCTTGGCGCATATTTAAGAAGTTTTTCTTAAAATTAGAATGTAATTTTTTCAGTGCTGACGGGCCCGTTTTGCAGTCTTAGAATTTCGCATTTGGAGCTTATAAAAAACCATTTATTATCTTTTTTCCGAGAAGCACCACGTGGAGGTGACCACTATTGGTTGTTTTTGGCAAGTTTTTAAATCCCGTGCAGAAATTACCCTAACAGGGCCCTGACCCCGCATGAAACCGGGAACCCGACCGGGCCCCGGCTTGGTAGCTCGTCCAATCGGGCTTTTCGTCATGGCGCTGGGCGGGTTCCCTGTTTCACCCCGGTCTGGACCCGGCCAGGCCCCTGTCAAAATTTCTACTCGGGATAATTCTCCAGGAGCTTTGTAAAACTAAAAAAAAATTCTTGTTAATTAAATTCGATAAAAAATATGAAACATTTTTATTTCAGTATTACTAAATTATCTTGGATCATAATTTGTAAAAACAAAAAACATCTTATTTAGAAGTAATAAGTAGGTAAAATCAAAAAAATTAGATATTAATATTTTCAATTTTTATGGGTAAAAATATTTAAACTTTTAAATTTTATATTTAAAATTCCTATTTTTTTCTATTTTTATGATACAATTGAAATTAAAATTACCAAGAAAACAAATTAATTAATTAATTAGAAAATATCAATACCAACTTAATGCAAGAATTAATTAATATTTAACCCTTTGAGTAGCAGTGATACATTTAATTTATATGAACATTTTTTTGTTAACTTCTGTATAACTTTCTTGATTTTAAAAACTGAATATTGAAACAATTTTTTTGGTCAAATGAGGCAAATTTCTTGCTTTAAATACTGGTCTTTAATTAAAAAAAGTTTAATAACTTTCCATAAAAAGCTTGTTTAAAAATCAAAAATCATCATTTTTGTAGAAAAAATTTGATCAGAAAAATCGAAAAAAATTTCAAAATACGTCTTTTTTTGAAATTTTAGTATAGAAATGGGTTGTATTTATCTAAAAAGTTAGTTAAGGATAGTTTTTCATCCATTTTATAAAAAATAAAAATTTTTCATTTTTTTGATTTTTCGAATTTTTTGAAAAAATGTCGTAACTTTCGTTTAAGTTAATATTTTTTAATCGGATAAGGCTATGATTTTAAGTTACGTTAATACCTAATAGACTGCCAAGTTTCACTTCAATCGGTTGAACCGTTTTCAAGTGATGCGCGAACAAAGTTTTGCATACAGACAGACAGACAGACAGACAGACAGACAGATAGACAGACAGACAGACATTTTTTTTTTACATTTTTCGAATTCTCATGTCTCAAGAAGAAAAAATATATAAGAATTTTCAAGATTGGAGCAATGTACAGACAGAAGTCTGGTTTTATTAATATAGATAGATAAACTTTTTTGTTTACAAATTCTTTTCAAACTAAAAGTACTATACTATACTATATTTACTATACGTAAGATTTAAAGTTTTCAATTTTTGATTGGCTAGTATTTTATGTAAATATAATTTTTAAAACTCACAATCAGTCTACTAATTCATTTGAATAATTTATATAAATTTATCAATTTACGCGTGATCTTTGACATTTATTTTGTTTAGTGCTTTGTAAAAACTTAATACTTTTGATTTTAATTTATCATTTCTTGCTCGACATATTGTATTGGGTGGCGAAATATTGACCAGTAGGTACATTTGAAGGAATAGTAATGTCGAGCCAAGAACTTGAGGATAAGTTTTATTAAAAACAAAGTATATGCCTATTAAAACTTTGAGTGATTCTACCAGTGTTTCGCAACGCATCACAACTTTTCGGTCCATACATATTAAAAATTTTAATTTCAATTCATCTTCGGGAATTAGGCTGCGGTTACACCTCTGCAGGCAGCCTGCCTGCCTGCAGGTTGTCATGGTAACGTACAAGAGTAAGAGAGTCAGTGACTTCAAACTTCTCCCTTACTCTCGTTGCTCCTGCCTGCGCAGGCAGGCAGCCTGCAGAGGTGTAACCGCAGCCTTATGGGTCTCTCATCGTCTTCTTCATTTTCAGTTTCGAGTGAGGTTCTGCAGCCTTGTAATCGTCGTGAAATAATGCAAGGAAATAAAACGTCCACGTTTACATCTTCATACCTTGTTGCAAACTGTTAAAGAGAATTATAATTTTAGAATTCAAAGATTTTAATTTGTAACCTTTTCAAAATTATATTATTTCTAAAAAATAATTCTACAATGCCTTTAATATTCAATTATTATCTAAAATTACAACTAAAATTCATGTTGAAATTAATTTTTATGAGAAAATTCTACAAATATTCAATTAATTAAATACAAAAATAAACAATTTATTAGATAATTGAATGATTCTTAAAATTAAATTCTCATGAAGAATATTAATAAACTAGCAAATGATACGCGCGCGGAATGTTGTATTCTATTTATTATTATTATTATGCAAATTACAAAACTTTTTATTTTCAAATATGAATTTTTGAAAAATTTCAGATTCAAACTTACAGGGTTGCCACGCTTTTGCTCATTTCAAATTCCCTGATTTTTCCAGGTTTTCCAGGTTAAAAAACGGAATTTTTCCAGGTTTTTAAAACTAAATTTATATTTTATTTAGATATATATATACGGGCTGTGCCCATTCGTACAGTGTACTAAGTATAATAAAAAAGTATGACAGAATTAATTACAAAAATTAGTTGGCCGCATTTACATCATTCCCAGGTTAAAATCCCCGTACAGGATCCTTAAAGGATCCTCTCGGGATCCTGTGCAGGTCCTGTGCAGGATCCCGACCGGATCCCGTGCAGGAAATTGGAACAGGGTTCCTGTGCAGGTTCCGATGCAGGAACCTTAGCTATCAAAGGTTCCTATAAAGGTTCCTGTACAGGAACACTTGCAGGATCATGTACAGGAAACTTTTTAATTTTTTTAATTTTTATATGTTAAGCAACATTTGACATACATAGACTTCATATTTCAATACGTTAGGCTCGTATAACAATGTTGGACAGAAAAATGTATTGCGCATTCGAGAAACTCATAGAAAACTACTGCGCAGAAGTTAAAAATATAAATAAATTAATTGAGGAAACTGTGTAGGATCCTTTACGGGTTTCTTACGGGATCCTTTATACTTAAGTACCTGCAGTTTACAAAACTACAAAGGTTCCTGTGCAGGAACCTTTATGAAGTTTCCTGTACATGATCCTGCAAGTGTTCCTGTACAGGAACCTTTACATGAACCTTTGATAGCTAAGGTTCCTGCATCGGAACCTGTACAGGAACCTTGTCCCAATTTCCTGCACGGGATCCGGTCGGGATCCTGTACAGGACGGGTACGGGATCCGGTCGGGATCCTGCACAGGACCTGCACAGGATCCCGAGAGGATCCTTTAAGGATCCTGTACGGGGATTTTAACCTGGGTGTTATTATTATCATAAATAGCTCGCAAATTTTATAAATACCAAATCGAGAATATTGCCCGAAGCATTAGTAAACGTATTTATTTGTTTAATGTTTAAAAGGTCTAAAGATTCAGATATTCGATTGGCAATTTTATTATATGATTTGGAAGTACGTAATTTTGAAAAGCAAGAGGGTCCGCTATCAGAATGCGAACGCCACGAAACGAAAGGCATGTTGAAATCTCCAATAATAATTAAAATTGCTGACGGGAAAGAATTGTATACTTTTTCAATTATATTGCAAACAGGTAAGTAAGTATGAAAGGTAGAATTAGGGGGTATATAAAATGTGGCCAAAATATACAATGTTTTGTTAGATAAAAACTTTACGAAAATATGTTCAACTGAATTGTCATTAGTGACTATAAGTGAAGCATTTAATGTTGAACAACATGCCACAAGAACACCACCACCACGAGAACACAGACTGGTATTTGCATTTCTGTCAGAGCGAAAAATATTGTAATTTGAAAATCCAAGTTCCGAAGAGTGAAAAGATGAATTCAACCAAGTTTCGGAAAAAATAATTACTTCATAAGTCACTGTTAACAAAGCTTGGCGAAGATTAACTAGTTTACCCCTCAGTCCCCTCACATTCTGATAGTAAACAGAGAACGACTGGAAAACAGCTGAAAATGTATTACACGAGGCAGCACGGGAAGCATTGGATGGGTCAACAGAATTACACAATTCATTGACACCAATATCATGAAACGTACAGGCATCATGACACACACACTGGTTCACTGCTTCAATCGTCGAGAAGTGGACACCAGTGATGGAGCTCCATGACGATAAGCTATGCGAACATTCGTCTCCCCTCCTTCGCGTCGTTCTTCTAACTCCCTCCTTAGCAATTTCATCTCCTCCAGTTGAATTTTTGTCATATCTCGCGACAGGCGCATATTCAAAATAAGAGGTTGAGTGACAACATCCTTCTTTGCTTTCAGGAATGACATATGAAGTGATTTCGCACTCTCTTCTGAGTCGCAAATGATTTTCACTGGTCTCGGGTATCGCTGAGTCTGCGTAAATGTTCCAATTCTGTTTATTTTTGCTTTTTCAATTGGATTTAGGCAAGACAATTTAGAAAAAAGTTCAATGACCACACTTGAAATATCTTGTTTAGAATTAACATCAGATCTATCCTCTGACAATCCAAAAAGAATTAAATTACGGGAACGAGACAGGCGATCATTTATTTCTGACATGCAATTTCTAGTTAATAAATTAACATTCAATTTTTCAAGAGTACCTTCAATTGTTGTTATTCTCCTAGAATTGTCAGTGGTAACAGATATAGCATCATCAACCCTTGAACTCAAGTCAGGGGCCATCCATAAACCACGTAGCCTCTTGAGGGGGAGGGGGGGGTCAAGCAATTGACTACGACAAGAGGAAAAAATGGCGCTAATACATGTAATAGCGTACTACATGGGGGGAGGGGGGGGGTCAAAATTCCCAAAAAATGGGGCTACGTGGTTTATGGACGGCCCCTCATCAAATTTTGAGGATAAATTATTAATTGTTGTTGACATTGACGAGAAGTTATTATTTAATCCCACTTGAAGTCTGGAAATTGCTTTATTGATAATACTGTCAATATTATCAATAGTCACAGTGCCGTTCACGGTACAGTCCTGAGATGAAACAGAAGCGCTCGGGTCTGTCTGAGTCAAAGGTAACGGCGATTTTGGTTCGTAAAAATTTTTACAAAATTTTTAATTCAAACCTTTTTGAAATTAAACATCTTATAAAAGTTTGTTATAAAACATGGAAATATCGATGACTCCGAGTCTTCGACTCGGAGCAATCGATATCTTCATGTTTTATAATAATTAAAAATGTTGGACTGATAAAATCATCATTTCTTACCAATTATAAGAATTTTGTTACTGTAACTTATTCAAAATTACTTTCATTATTTTAATTCTATTATTCTTTTCCACAATTTTTAACTAAAATTCTTCTTTAAATTAATTATTATTAATAATTTCTGAAAAATTTCTTTCAACATTTTCAAATCTTTTTGTTTACAATTTATTTTTACGAAATTTCATCGTTTATTCAGGTATTTGGAAATTTTTCAATCAAATATATATTAGAAAATAAAAACTTGAAATAACTTCAAAAAAATTCTATTCAACTTTTAAAAAAAATTAAATCTACACAATTTTAAGTTAAAAGTATGTAAAATTCAAACATTCAAAGATTATAATTTGAGACCTGCTTTTCAAAACTCTATTATTATCTGTAAAAAATTGTATTGCATATTTATAAAAATAATTGAATCTATGTAAACATAAATTGAATATTTTTGAAAATAATAGAATTATTGCGAAGAAATTTATAAAAAATTTTTTCAATAATTCATTTCTTTTGGAAAATTTTATTCAAATTGTAGATATTGAAAATCATTGACTGGAGGAGAATTTTTGAAAAAAATTGAATTTGTTAAAAAGAATTTCATTAAAATATTTGAAAATATTAAAATAATTGAATTTTGGAGAAAAATTTTAATATTTATATAACTAATTTACTAATTAATTATTCTTGTTTATTAACTTCAAAATTTGTAATAAAATTCTTTGCGCAACGTTTTTTTCGTTGGATGAAAAACATGTCAAATAATTAAATTTTTAAATATTTCAAAATTGAATGACTTAGAGGCATTATAATAGAATATTTCTGCATTATTAGATTTTCAGAATTTAAAATTTTTCCTACAAATTTTTTGCTTTTTCAAAAACGTCTGTTTTTGCATTTTCCAAAAAAGTTGGGGTGATGTGCAACACCAGTAAAATTCAGGTATGTAATGCATAAATATCGATGAAAATTTCTTTAATGATTAATTTTAGGCTTTTTCAATGCAAACTAATCGAAATCTTCCAAAAAAAATTGCTAAGGTATAGTTGACCTCTAAAAAGTGGAAATTTCACCCAGGAAGAAAAATTTTTTTTGTTTAATTTTTTATTTATTAATAACTGAATAAGGAATATAATAAAAGGAAAATAACTAAGAATTTTTTATTCATCATGTGAATCGCAGTTATGGCACGTAAAAAGTAGTTACGTCCACCCCAAAAAAAAGTGTTGCACATCACCCCAAATATGATATTTTGCAAAAAATGATTTGTACGCAATACAATGCAATGGAAACACAAAATATAAACAGATATTTAAAAACACTTACAAAACCAACAATAAACACATTCTTATCTATAAAATAAATTAAAACCCTTCACGAAACGACTAGAAATGTAAAGCGCGAGAAATATTTCCTTCTTGAGAATTTTAAGTCAACTTACGTACAGCAAACCTAGCTGCGAGCTGTCTCGTGAGTTTTATATCAGAAACAAGCTACTGAGGACACAAACAAATGGCAATACTTGGCTCTGTTTAATATCAAACTGTAGATCAGAAATCGGCGGTGTTGCACATCCCCCCATGTTTCACATCACCCCACATCACCCTATGTCTTTTATAATTTTTGATAAATTTCATTCAAAATTAAAATTTCATGGAATTTTAAATTTAAACCTAAAGTTCATCAATTTATTAAATATTTTAAAATAATTGTACAAATAATAAATTATTTAAAAAGAATTGACAGAAATAAAGAAAATAGAAGATTTTTTTTATTAAAATTCGTTTACGAAGAAAACAAAAAAACAAAAATTCAGAGATTTCTTATAAATTATAAAAATTTAATTTTTCCTAGTATTTTTAATAAAAATCTCTGATTTTTCTGAACAATTCTACTTTTTCTGACTTTTCCCTGATCTGTAACATCTGTCTTAAATAAAATATATTGATTTCTCTGATCTGTGGCAACCCTGTAATAGATACTGATACTAAAATATAATACATAATAAACTATAAACTCAACTCAAAAAAATTAACTCTAAAATCAACTCGTGTTCACTTACCGAACACGAATGGAGAAGCGCCACTTCTGTTTCTTTAAATCGGGTTTGAATTATATTCAACACTTGTTTCTGCTGTCGACTTTCGCTGAGATCCTTAAATTCGCAACTTCGGCTTTCATAACCATAGATAAGAATAGTTTTCATTTTTTCTTCAAACCTAGTCCGTAAAGTATCAATTGGTGTTCCCGTCAATTCTTGAAAATGCCAAAATAAGCAGTTTTTTACGAAAAGAAGTGGCGATTCTTTCAATATGTCATCCGTTGATGGAGAATTCGAATAAGAGTTAATATATAATCTTTGTGACGCATATGTAGACTTTATCGTATCAGCAACTTCGCCGAAAGTCATATCAAATAATTGAATGATTCTTAAAATTAAATTCTCACGAAGAATATTAATAAACTAGCAAATGATACGCGCGCGGAATGTTGTATTCTATTTATTATTATTATGCAAATTACAAAACTTTTTATTTTCAAATATGAATTTTTGAAAAAATCAGATTCAAACTTACAGGGTTGCCACCCCGAGTCGAAATTTATACTTTCTTTAGAGTCGACTATGTACTACGTCAGGTAGTACTTAAGAGAGTATAAGTCGATTATGGTACAAAAGAAATTATGGTCGATTTAAGATCTAAAAGGTGGTACAAATTCCGTATTCACCACGTCGTAGTACATAAATCGATCATAATGAACGCAACTACGCATGCCCTAAGCCTCACTGATCAATTCTCATTGGTCCAAAATGATCAATTCTCATTGGTTCAAAATACCGCGCTCTTTTTTAAATAATATATATATATCAAATTGGAGAATTAAAACATCTGATAATAAATATTTGTTATTAAAAATATTTTATTTAAAATTTTTAAAGTTACAACTTATAATATAGGAAATTCTCTGGAATTTTTTAAAAATTACTATTTTTTAAGGAATTGAATATTTTCTTGACGCAAAATCTTTAAATTACGTAAAAACATATAAGTATTAAAATAATAAAATTTAAAATGAAAAAAACTAAAGTAAGCAAGTAAATAATATTAAAAAGTAAGTAATAAAAAATTATTATCATGATATTAAATTTATGTTTTAAAATTAAAAGTTTCAGAGAATTGCCCATGCACACTTTGCTCATTTCCCGACTGACAAAACCACCTTAAACTATAATCTTGATGGCAATCGTCAATTGGCACAATATTGTCCAATGTAGAAATTCGTTCAATTACTTCTGGTCCTTCATCTTGGCTGTTGATGTCCTGGGTTTTTTCAGTTTTCTTACACCTCTTTTTCTTTACGCTTGTAGAATCACTTTTCTTTTCGACAATGTATTTCCTCTTATTACTGATGATTTTATTTATATAAATATTCAATACTGCCAGAGTTACAGCGTCCTTTGAAACTTCATTTACCCAACCTAAAAGAAAGCAAAAAACTAATTAACGCAATGCATAATAAAAATCTATTAATCTATATTAATTTTATCAAAAACAAATAAATGTTTCAAAATGCATTGAAATATGTTCTGCTTGATATTTGATTTTTAAAAAATTAAAAAATGGCTCAAGAAAATTTTTAAGTATCTTATGAAGCCAATACTAACCGTGTAGACCTTTTATTAATCTATAATCGATAGCAGGCCTGGAGCACCTTTTACCTGAAGCAGAAAAGTGCTTCAAGTTTCCACCAAATACCTCTACTAGTGTATTTTTCACTATTTTTTCCCAGTCATAACTGCCACGATCATTCGCCGTTAAATTAATGTAATTAATTACACTTGTTTTTAAATAAAACCCACAACCTGATGATATTTCCATCTGTAAAAGAGAAATGTTAATTGTTTACATGAAAAAAAATTACCCAAAAATTTATTTACCAGTTTTTTGTAAATTATCGAGACAACTCTTATTTTTTAAAATTGTTTGTATCCTTTGATTTTTTTAAATTTCTACAAAATCTATTTTTTTACACAAGCCTAGTTCCTTCATGGGTAAACGATTTTTTGGAATTTTTGAAAATTATGGAATTTGACTATTTTCTCATACAAACTTTGGATTTTCTTGGTATTACGCACACTTATGTATTTTTATGCGCTGATTACGAAAATCATAGTCACAAAACCCGAAAATTTCGTTTTTATGATAGTACCAAGAAAATCCGAAGTTTGTATGAAAAAATAGTCAAATTCCATTATTTTAAAAAATTTCCCAAAAAAGTTTTTGGTTTTTCAGAATTCATCTTTTAAATAATATAGAATATTTAGTTTGCAATTTTAGCTGGTAGCGTATGCTAAGAGCTTATTTAAAAATTAAGAATTTTATTTACCTTTTGAGGCCCAGGTTCAAAGTAGTCGACTGGTATCTAAAAATGAAATAGGTAATAATTAAATTAAATTAAAATACATTAATTGTTTAATAGTTAAAAGATTCAAAAAATAATAAACTAAATTGTTTTTCATTTAAACTCACCGTCAAACTTTTTACTGGTTCAAACTTCATTTTCTTTCTAAATTCATATTGGTGTTTCGCAGCAGCAAGCATAAATTCCAAAAATTGGATGTTGGATCGACTGACTAAAATACATATAAAATTTTAAAGCGGTTAATAATTAATTATTATATTGCTCATTATATATATCGGCGATTCCACGTCAGACTTCAGTTCACATTTTAAATTTGGGCAAACATATTTGATTTTTATTCTTTAATGAAAAAAAGAGATATGTATTTTTTTATTATTTTATAGGTGACCAAATTTTCAAGAAATGAATTTTCGAAAATTTAGTTTTCTGAAAGTAAACCTATTTTTAATGACATAACTAAAAAATTATTAACTTTGGAAAAATTATGCCAAGAGAAAAAAAAATTCATAATTCGAAAATTTGGCCACCAAAAAAAATAAAAATAAGTATACCTCTTTTTCTCTAAGAAATGAAAAGAAATGTGTTTGTCTAAGTTTAAAATATGAACTGAAATCTGATGTGGAATCGGTCATATATATTTTATATTATATAATAATAAATAATTAATTATATAAAATTTAATTTAAACTGAAAATATAAAACTGATAGCAATTGTTATACTTCACCTGTGAAAGGCATTGAATTTGAGAATTTTGGGACTGAATCTTCAGAGTAATCCACCTCAAAATCCGAAGACGAGCAGTTTGATGCGTCATCATCATTATTATTACTACTTGGTTCCAAATTTTTCTCAGTATTGGTTTGATTTTTCATTACAGTACCAGGATTGCCACTAGGTCCGGGCAGTGTATCACTACAATTCATAAAAAATACACATATATTAACAATGAGGTATTAAAATAAATGTTATTACGTTAAAATTATTATTTTGTTATATTTTCTAACCGTGAATGAATGTTCATAATCGGTCGCACAAATGCAGGATTTGATTGACCCTTTTTCTTCTTTCTCTACAATAAAAAAGTTTTATTAATAAATATTTATTCATTTTATTTATCTCCTCCTTGATTTATTAAATTTAAAACATGCAATTTATGAATTTCAAATAATTTTTCTATTTTGAATTTATTAACTATTATAAATATCATCGAATATTAAGATATTTTTTTCCCCCTTTAGAAATGAAAGATATGTCATTAATGGCGTACATCAGAATGAAAGGGAAGATAATGTAGATGTACAAAGAATAAATAATGAGGAAATTAACATTGAAACAAATCATGAGTAAGTAAAATCTATATGTGTGTACACTGTTAAAATTAATTAATTAATTATTTAATTTTAAATAATAATAATAATAATCTCCTAAGTCACCTTATAGTATCCAGCACTTCAATTTCTGAAAAATATTTATGCATAAATTTTTTTTAACTATTTCTTTCAGAAGAAGAAATGTAGAACCAGAAGGTGTTGAATATGATTCAGATGAAAATAATTCCAGTTCTTCCGAAGACGAATTACCTGAAATTGATGAAGATGATGATGATGAGGATGAAATACTAGACGGACTGCTTAATAGAAACATTCATGAACCGTTATATCGGGGTGCTCCAGTAACACTTGCTCAGAGTATGTTATTAATATTAGCATTATTCTTGCACCACAATCTATCATTATCGTGCATTGCAGATATAATTACTGTAATTAACTTTCATTGTTTGAATCAAAATTTAAAAAAAAATAGTTTATATAAATTTTTAAAATTTTTCTCTCTTAACACAAATAATGGATCTGTTAAAAAAATTTACTACTGTTCGACATGCATTAGAGAATTACCAAATGCTAAATTTCGTTGTCCATCATGTCCAAGAAAAAAAAATTCTTACTTTGTTCAAATAGCTTTTATCGATCAATTAAAAGAAATGTTTAAGCGACAAAATTTTTATAATAGTTTACAATATCGATTTCGAAGACCACTTCAGAATTATTTGTCAGATATTTATGATGGCTCTGTATATAAAGAATGGTTGGAAAATGGCTTTCTATCTAATCCAAACAATATATCGCTTAGCTGGTATACAGATGGAATACCAGTTTTCAAATCATCTAAAATCAGTGCATGGCCCGTATATTTAACCATTAATGAATTACCTCCACAAGAACGAAAAAAAAGGGAAAATATTTTACTTGCTGGATTATGGTACGGTCCTGAAAAGCCAGATATGAATACTTTTTTTAAATCATTTTATTCCGAATTTCAAAAACTTTTAGAAGGTGTCCGAATAAATGTTCCAGAGTTAAATGCAATAATAAATGTTCGCGGATTGCTGTTAACGGGCACATGTGATTTGCCTGCTAAAGCTAGTTGTTTAAATTTTACACACCATAATGGGGACTATGGCTGCCCAATATGTTTTTATAGAGGTGAAACAATACATTTGCTTAATACAGGTGGTAACATTCATGTTTATCCTTATGCTCATAATTTTTATTTGAGAACTTTAGATGAATGTAAAAGATTGGCAGAAACAGGAACAGAGAAAGTACCCGACAAGGGTGTAAAAGGTCCCACCAGTCTTTCTCTTTTAATGCCTGACTTTATAAAGGGAATGGCTATTGACCGCATGCATGGAGTTGATGGTGGTGTAGTGAAAAAAATTTTAACTTTATTATTTGATGTTAAATACAGGGCTTATGACTTTTCTTTAATAAATGCTGTTGATACAATTAATCGAAGATACTGTACAGGATTTGGTGCATTGGAAAGCATCTGAGTTAAAGTTGTGGTTTTTTATTATTCGCTTCCTGTTTTTCACGGTGTTATGGAAGCAAATTTTTTCGAACATTATTCGTTATTAGTTATCGCTTTATCCACTTTTAATTCCAGTGTTATAACGTTTGCTAAAGTTGAAGAAGCTCGCGATTTATTGCATAAATTTATCAGAGAATTTCCAAGATTTTATGATATAATTTTTTTAACAATTAATTTCCATCTATTATTGCATCTTCCTGACGACGTTTTAAAATTCGGTCCATTATGGGTACATTGTTGCTACGAGTACGAAAATATTAATGGAAAATTACTGCAACTTGTGCATGGAACAACTCATTTAGATTCACAAATAATAAGGTCACATAATTTATTTGTAAGAATGATAAATAAACTTCAACGGTTAGAAAATGGAGATATTAAAGATTTTTGTTTAAAAAGAAAGAAACAAGTAAAAATTATTGAACAATTGTTTCCCAATTGCTATAGTGCTGGAACATATAAACATCGTTTTCAACTAACTCATATTATACAAGATGCATGTCGAAACTCTGGAATTGTTTTTAATAATTTTAAAGTTTTTCAATATTTACGTTTACTAAAAAACAATAAACTATATGTAGGACAAATTTATAAAGAAAATTTGCAAACAAATTCCTACACGGTACAGTACTATAATAACAATGTTCTCAAACTTGGTTTGGTAAATTGTTTTTTGAAAATTATTCATTGCATTTGCGAGGTACGATTTTGTCAATGTCCCTGTCAGCATTATGCCATCATTCAAACATGTAACATTTTGGAAAATTTTTACGCTCAGGGTGATAATACTCTATGTGATAGTCGTTCGTTTTTATTCAAATGCGAAATAACTGATAGGTCAATAGCTATTCCTATTCAAAATATTTTAAAGGTTTGCATTAATATGAATATTGAAAAAGAGATTTTTATTGGAGTGCCTGTTAACGAAGAAGAACTTGAATAAGAAAACTTCCATATAAAATTTGTGGATATTTGAAGCATTTAAATGTATTAATTAACTCTACTACGACTTGCTCTAAAAGTTTTGAATAAAATAGTGTTTAAAATTGGTAAACGATTTTTCTAACGTATGTATAAGACTCTGCTTTAAATATGCATTGTAAAAAAGTAAATATTAAATTATTATTTGTAATATATTACTCGAATATAAATTCAAGTTTGCGTTCCAAAAAAATAACTCATCGTTGAGAAAGAGAGTCCAAAAGATAATATTCAAATGCCTCATTGAATATTTTGGAAGTACACATTTTCATGCGGCGCCTGCACTTTTCTTACCTGGTCTGCTAATGGTAAGGTAATTTTATAACACCTAACCAGGGCCGTTTCTGAAGTAAGCGGAGCATTTCAAATTGTTAAAATGGCCCTGATTCTACAATTGTATATAATTTATTTACTTCGTTTTCTTAATTTAAGAATTTAAGTGTTAAGCATTATAATAAAACATGCAGCGAATTTCACTTGTAAACAGCGAAACTTGTGGTTTTTTAAGAAGTTTCTTTTTATAGTGTATACCAAATAATAATAATTATTAATTATATTTTTCCATTATTATTGACACGGTAAATTGCAAAAATTATGAAAAATTGCATCTTTGTAAATACATATTAGGATATCCAAAACTTGTATAATTATCCATCAAAAAATTATTTAAAAATTAATTTTTATTATTTATTATCCAAAAAACTTGAAAGAGATTCAACTAATTGGTATATAACCTCCAACTAAAAAGTAGTTTATAACTAATGTGTTTTTTCGTAATAGTAGTAAACGATTGTAATTTTTATCTAATTTTTATAAGCAATAGTTCATATTACTCTTTAAAGATTCTTGTATACTTGCTTTTGCCTCTTATATTATAATGTCTCTCAAATTCGTAGAAATTCTTTCATAGCATATACCTGTCGAACAAGAAGACTATATAGCTATCGAAGTTTGTACTTTGTACGTTGAGGGCAGTATTGAACTATGTGCATATAGTTGTCCCTATTACCGACTTGAAGCAGTGAAATGTCTCCTACACATTCTATATATTTTAATTATTTGAACAATTAATTAATAAAATCATGGCTTATTTTCCATTTTGGAAATTAGTAAAAAATATTTAATAATTGAAAAATATTTTATTATATTATATATATAAAATTGTTATTATATTATTATTAAATTATTTTTATTTATTCAATAATAATAATCTCTATTTGAAATAATAAAAAAAATAATTCTAGAAAAATAAATAATTTAAATAAAAATAATAAACAAAAAATTAATTGAAAAATAAATAAATAAATAAAATAAAAAAATTAATTATTGAAAAATAATTAAATTTTACTATTTTTACAGGCAAATTTCACTAAAATGGAATTAGCAGAATTTCTCATAAAATTCTAGTTATTATTTAACATAACATAGCAATGAATTTACAAATAATTACTTTTGACTATATCAAATTTGAAAAGTGTATGGGTATAATACAATCTAGAATATGTAGTTAAATTTTTATAAATCAGGGATTGAAAATAAATTAAAAAGAAAAAAATAGTAAAAAACCACTAATTTAAAAAAATTTATGTATATATATATATATATATATATATATATATATATATATATATATATATATAAATAATAGTGAAATATACATATGAGGGGCTGGATGCTATAATGGAAAATTTTAAGTACATACTAGTTTGTGTACATTAAAAAATATTTTTAAAATTGACTTAAATATTTTAAAGTTCAACATTCCGCTAAAATTATTCTAAGTTCAAAATTATTATTTCTACATATATAAATCCGTATATAATTGAAAATCGTTTAAAAGATTCTAAAAATCGACCTTAAATTTTGTCCGAGTACATAATCGACTATAAAGAGAATATACAATTCAAGACGGGGGGATCTTAAGAGTCTAAAAATCGACCTTCAATTTTGTCCGAGCACATAATCGACTATAAAGAGAATATACATTTCAAGACGGGGCGAACTTAAAAGTCACTAAACAGACTATACTAAACTATAGTAGACTGTAAATCAAACATGCTAGATCTTAAAAGTACATAAACAGAGTATAATAGCACAAAGTACATTTTAAATCAACTACAAATTTCGACTCGGGACGCTTTTGCTCATTTCAAATTCCCTGACTTTTCCAGGTTTTCCAGGTTAAAAAACGGAATTTTTCCAGGTTTTTAAAACTAAATTGTCGAGTCTAAGATCATCATTCCCTATATCTTCAAAGGTTTTAGGGAATTTGTCCCGAAATTGTTTCGCAACAATTTTTAAATCTTGCTTTCTAATAGGAACATCGTTAAATCTCATATCTCCAATTACAGCTCGAACGATTCCATTGATTTCATCATTATCCGTGGTCCCATTGCTACATTTATTTAATAAATCTGGACTTATTTGTGTCCAAGGTACAATATATTCACTCCAATCTGAAAATTTTTTTTGCGTTGCATCCCCATCCATTAATAAGTTTAAATTTCCAAGTGGAGAAGATACGTGTCCCATGTATTTTCGCATTGAATTATAGCCGATTTGTTTAAAACTGGAATATTTAAAATGAGGTCATTAAAACTTGCAGTGAACCACATTTCATTTTCCTCTAATAATAATATTGGCTTATTTTGATTCGCGTAATATTGATGAATGTCCTCGCTTTCTGTGAGGAACGTGCCATCTTCTTCGGAAGTGAATTGTGTCCCGCTGATTTTTAATTTTTTGTTTCCTTTTTCAATAATAGTTTGTATATTATCCTCCGTGGAGCATGTTATGATAAATTTTTTTTGTCTATTTGCAGACCAGACTTTTATTTGAAACATCTAAAAAAAATTGTAAGCTTTAATATTATTTATAAACGAATTGTCTGTCTGGGAAATGACTAAATTTAGTTTTTGTAAAATTTTTAAGAAAAAGAACCATTTTTTTAAGAAGGTATTTAATTGAAAAATTGGGGCTGTAGCGATGGTAGGTAATTAAATTCTACAAAATTTAATTCTACGCTTGATAAAATAGGTTTTTTGTGACTTTTTATAAATTAATAACTCTACGCAATTAAATTCAACACCACATACTTAGGGGAGAGTGGGGCAAAGACGCTAGGTTTACATTTATCGATGTATATTTTTTAAATTAAGCAATTAATTTATGCGGTCTTTGTTTTTCATTATTCTAAAACTAATCAACAAGAAAATTTAATAGTTGTTATTTAGTATATATTATTATAATTATAAATACATTATTTAATGAAATTTAAAAACAATGCAAAAAATTGATTGTATTACAACTTAATTTTTAATACCAATTGAAATAGACAAAAAATAAAGGAGATATTTTAAAAAACGTCTTTGCCCCACTCTCCCCTATACAAAAAATAAATACATCTTAATAAATAGATTTTTAAAAACATTTACGCAATTAAATTATTAGGATTTGAATTTTTTGCACAAATTAATAGAGAATTAAACTGTTCGCAAGAAATTATAATTGTTGAATTTTCTATCGTAGAATTTAATTTTCTATTCGAATTGCAGACGCCGTTTATAACAATTTTTCAAAAGTTCTTCGACAATTCATTTATTTGAATACAAAAATTAAATTTTTTATAATAATTTCAACTGTAACTTGGTGAAAATAAATTTGATCAATAGGAAGGTATCAAACATAAAAAAGGCTTATGTCATATTTAAATGACATAAGCAACTTAAAATATGACATAAGCCTTTTGTATGTTTTGGAATCAAATTTTTTAAGAATTTGAAATTTTTAAAAATTTTAATAAACATATCTACAAAAGTAAATTTTAAAAAATTTTCAATTACTTTGTTAAAAAAACATGTAAATAAATATAATAAAACAATTCTAATAATTACACTGAGAAAACTGGAGTATTGGACTAAACATCTGGAGGGACAAATCGTTGATATTTGAGAGTTAGCTATTGGATAACAATCTAAATGTTCAAATACACCATTGACAGATATTCGTGCCATTTCTCTTGGAGGGAAAATGAGTTTATAACAGAGGGACAAATTAACCATCTTGAGAAATCCCTTCCTTATCCGGCGCGAAATGAATAAATATGGCAACCTAACCCCTAAATTAAATACATAAAATGTCAGAAAAATAATTTCGCGCGCATCAGATCGTACACATTTTCTGCGCAACTTTTAATCCTCAGATATAATGGGAGAGAATATACAAGTAGATTTCCATTATCAATTCAAAATTTATTTTAGAAGGACTATTCAACTCTCTTCATAAGCAAAGGAAACATACACTTTTTGAACCTCTGAATTTGACTCTCCAGTTTTCTCTGTGTATATATATATTTTTAAATATTCTAATGTAATTTTTTGAAAAAAATTAAATCTTTTAAATTAATTTTTACATGAATTAAAAAAACCATTTTTCTTCAAAATGTTAAAAATAATTCTAAAAAATTTTAATATTATTTCTTATATGTACATATTTGAATTTTTGGAAATAGGTAGGGGAGAGTGGTCCTAAGTTGGCCGCCTAAGCAAATTGGTCGAAAATAGTAACAAAATGAAATTTAATCACTTCGGCAAGTATATATTAGTGTTTAGAGATCGTTTTGCTATAATTTTGTGGTATTTAGAACGTTATGAAATGGCTTTTGTAATCTTAATACAATAAATAGTGAAAAACTGCATTTTTGACATTTCAGAAATAGCGGTCCGAAGTTGGCCACCCCCTGGTCCTAAGTTGGCCACCACTTTTTTTCGCTGGTGTATAAGGAAGAAATGCATATTCTTTTCAATTACGCAGAAATTTTACAAATTTGATACATTTAGGAGAATAAAAACGCATTATTGAACTATTTTTGATTAGAAAATGAAGCATTATTTTATTTCATTTATTTGCAGTGGTGGATGGCTGTGGAGACAGGTGTTTTTGTACTATATATATTTTCTAATGTTTTTTAAACCATTTTTTTTGTTTTTTGTCTTTGTTTAATTCCTACGTTACACTTTTACGGTTTTTCTCGTGATGAAAAACACAAAAAAGAAGTAAAACATAAATAAAAACAATAAAAAACAATAGGTGGCCAACTTAGGACCACTGTAAATTTTTAAAAGTTTCAAATTATTACGCTAATAAAAAAAAATTAATTAAAAAATCAACAGAACTTCTTATTACAACATTAAATAAAGGAACTAGCGCACACACGCATTTAGAAATTTTTAATTATTTATCTCTTGTAGCTGCTCTCAAAAAAAAAAGAAAAATTAAATTTTCGGTCGAAAACAATATTATTGTCCTCACAATGCGTAGAAGAATCTTAGATTATAATTAGGTCCATAAATTATATCATGGTTTATCAATATATCATACCACAAAGTTATAGATTCGTCCAGTATACCATCTCTGAGAAATGCAGGGTGGCCAACTTAGGCCCACGGCCAACTTAGGACCACTCTCCCCTATGTAATTGAAAATATAACATATAATTGAATGTTAAAAAATTTGAGTAACATTTCTGAAAATAGTTGAATTTCTAAGAAGAATTTT